GAGACGGAACTGGCCTGCCTTAAAGGGCAACCATCAGTGCATGCCAGGGCTTTGACCTTTGGAAACAGAACTGGACAAAGAGAGAAAGACCAACCCCAAGTTTGAGTTAGAGAAACTGAGATTAATCCATTCTGCCAAGGTTCAGGGAAGAGGTGGAAGCCTGCAAAACGGAGGTAGGTCTGCACGATCTTGGACAGTTGCTGTAAGCAGAGCTGAAGCGTCTATATGGCTTGTCTAGACTGGCTTTGGAACCTTAAAGATACCAAAGCTGCCTGGGGAGGGTGTTAGTGTTAGTAAGTGGCTGACATGAGATTCAAGGAGGGATTTGATATGCTGTTTTATTTTTATTATTTCTGTCCAGTTCATCTCAGGGCCTATGCTGTCTGTATTTAGAGTATAGAATACTGAGAAGCTCAGTATCTGAAGACATCAGAAAAAGAGTCTGCTCTGAGAATCCATCATTCTTCCAAGAAAGCGCGTCTGTAAATGTTGACAGTACCTACTTGTTTTAATTTCTAGCTTAGTCGATTTTAGATTCACAATAGTTTCCTTATAAATGAAGGAAGCCTTGAGAACGCAAACACTGAATCACTCTTTCCAGCGAGGCTGTTCTGAGAAAGCACTCTGCCTAGCCTACTGCTTTTCACACGCATGAGTTAAGTATTGGAAACGAGGCTGAAAGAATGAAACGAAACAGAATGGCTTTCTAGATCCACCTAAGTCAGATCTTAATCACGAGACTTCATTAAAAATCATTGCTGGGCCACCTGACCTACCTACATTCAGATAGAAATGTAAAAATAAATCTATTTCAATCCTTATTTAGAATAATTTTCAGGTTATCTACAACACTTGAGACATAATTACCCTTCAATATTTCTGCCAATAATTAGAAGTGGGTTGTACTAACATTTACTTGAACTGCAATAAGTTAATAGAATGAAGACTGCACTCCAAGGCTTCAGCAAGCTTGCATAACGCTTTGGGGGCAGCAGATGGGCTAGAGCAGAGCCTCAAGCCCTGCAGTAGATAAGGCAAGGGCTGGGTGGAAAGTATCCAAATCTAATCTCACTGCCCATTTACAACTGTCACTTCTATAAGTCTCACGTTTTATTCAGACACTGAAAAAGTTACTATATGGCTTTTGGCTGTTAGGTGACTTCAAAAGTGTTCATAAATCTTTATGAAATTCAATTCAGTTTCCAACTATAACAGTTTAGGGAATGGGCAAAAATACTTTCATAGCTCCATTGAAAAAAATTTTCATTGCATCCAATGAAATTTTAGTGGCTTGAGTGAAATGAACTCTTGTTTGGGGATCAATGTCCGCGTTGACAGTAATTACTGCCAATGGTCATTTTAGTGACTTTGGCTGTTTATAAAATTAAAAACTGAACAGCAGAACAGGGGGATGGGCAGGATTAAACCTCTTCCATGGCCCTCCCACACTATTGGTAGCACCAGACTATTTTTTTAAGGCATGAGTACTGTCTTTAAAAAACAATAACAGCCCTGATTTCATAACTTCCCTCAATAATCTTTCACAGATAGGGCTTCCAAATGGCTTTTTGACTCCCGTTTAGGTAAATTCCTTGGTTTCCACAAGAGAGAACTCTGCCAAAAAGAAAGGTGGACACAGGCTGCGGATGGTATTTGAAGCAAGATGATGGTCTGACTCATAAACAACATCAAAATGTGCCTTGTATGGAAATGAAGGTGAAGAACGTTTGTCTGAGGCTAAGACTTCTTGTTCTTTTATGCTCCTCTGTCTGTGAAACTCAGATGTCTGTTAACAGATAAAATCTGCCCCTCTGCTCTGGAGTCCTCCAGACCCCTTGTCTGAGCCTATATCCTCAAGAGATCTGCTTCCTTTCACATCTCATCCCCAGAATGACTCTGATGTCATTCTTTTCAGCCCGCTGCAAATGCTGTCTGCTCTACCAGAGGCACTTCATTTTAAACCGGCTTTGTTATGATGAATTTAGGGATCAGCAAGTAAATTACAGACAAGTGGCCCCATTTTGAATTCACTCCTCACCTATGTAGGCATTCTTTCTCTCAATCAATGCCGACTGACCACTAGCCTATGCCAGGCGTTGTGCTGGGTGCTACACTGGCAAACATGAGAGAAACACTTGAGAAAATTATTATACATAGAACAACATAATATGTAATAATATGTATAAAACAAAGTTCTACACTTCTTTAAAAATGCAATGTCCCAGGTGGAACAAAGAAAGGAGTGGCCAATTCTGAGAGTCAGGAAAAATTTTATCTGAGGGGAGGACATCTAAGCTGAATCTTTCAGCACAGTTAGCACGAATCTTACCGGCAGGTTGGTGGAAGAGCAGGATGGCATGAGACCACATAATGCATTTAGGGAACTTCAGGGATTCGGCTTTGATCAAGGAGTGGTAGGAAGAGATGCAGAAGACATAGGCAGGGTTTAGATCACAGAAATTTCAATGCTATCCTAAGGAGTATGAGCTTTTATTACATTCAGAAAAAAATATTTTACACAGCAGAGTAACATGCCTCGAGAGTTCAGATAAGAAATGAGAAGCAGATAGTCTACCTAAATAACTATGTATTCGTATCATACAGAGATGTCAAGAGATCAAATAAATGAGTCTGAAAGGGCTAAAGGCAGGAAGAGGGAGGGCTTGGGAGGACTTGAGCATGAAATCCAGTTCTTGGGTGGTTGTATATCACTGTTCATTGAGGTAAAGCATCAAGGAGGGAAGCGGATTGCAATAGGAAGGTATGGAAGGCAGGGGTGACCTCTGAGTTTGAATTTTCTGAGAGACATCCAAGAGATTGTGTTCCAGAGACAATTATATAGACAATTTTAGAACTCAAAAGAGACACCTGGGCTACAGATATTATTTTGGTAGCACATTAACATACAGGTGGGTATGTGGAAAAAGAATAAAATAGAGCTGTCGAGAGACTCTTTCAGGATACCAAAGTTTGTGTCAGGCAAAAGAAAAGCAACTCACCATGAGGTTTATGCAGAAATCGCCAGAGAGGTATGAGGGCCAGGCTGATGTCATGGCTCAGATGACCAAGAGTAGAGAATGTTAAGAAAGTGGCTTATATGTGAAATGGGACTGACAGGCCAAGTAATATGGAGATTGGCAATTGGGGGCTCTTCAGAGATATATGATTTATAAAACTGCTTTTGTACACTTTAGGGTATCTAGGGAAAGCTGGGTAAGAAAGATGGGTCTTGAGGGTACCCTGGGGCTGCAGGTCTATCCCATGTAAGAGGGAGGCCTGAGTGAGGGTGCCATAAAATCGTCATGTGGTCATACTCAGGACCATCATTAAGGTCAAAACTCAGTGCTGAGAAAGGAAGGCTTCTTCCTCTGCATGTCGCTTTTTCCATATAGCTGGTTTCCTCATTTCTCTACCCACCTTTCTGTCTGCCTAGGCCTCATCTTCTTTCTCCCATGTTACCACCAGGTACCAAGTGTTCTCTCAAATTTCCACTCCACCAGCCTTGGTCCTAATGTTTAGTTCCCTCTTTCGCCCTCTAAGGATGGCAACTAAGGATAATCCCTGTCCCAAATTCCAGTTACCTCGGTCTCTTCACATTTATGAGTTGGTTTATTGAACAAGGTTATGGGCCTAGGAATCCTAAGTGCTTGCAAACCTCACATGGGGAACACAGCTTTAATACGGAGTGTTGGAAAGGGGCGGGGAGTTGGGAGCAAGAAGGTCTACATGGGAAGCCAAGTCTTGGGCTCCTCAGGGGAAGAATGAAGACAGCCAAGGACATGGTTGTACTTCAACTTAACACACCAAACCCTACTGTTAAATGCCGAATCTTCCCAGTAGGATTGCCCCGTGGCATGGTGCTGGCCTGAGTATGATCGGCATGTAATGGGGTTGTTGCACTGTAGACTGATGTGTAGAGAAAATCAGGCTCTGAGAAGATCACAGGTTCTTGAAACTTTGAGTTCATGCCAACCAGGTAGTCTGCTGATATATTTGAGAGTGGGCTGAGTTTTGAATGAACTAGGGGATCTTAAACTTGGTTCAGAAATTTTGTTCAGAATCTAGGATGTAATCATTTCAAGGAAGCCAAATACTTCCAATAAAGTAGGAGCGTTGTTCTGGGGAAGTCAGTGGCAAACGACTTGACTGTCCTTTTGCTAATTGGTGAACCTGGAGCAGGCAGCACAGGATACTTGCTCATTTTCTTGTGCTTCCAAGTGTGTTCTCTCTCTCTCTCTCCCCCCTCCCTCTCTCCCTCTGTGTGTGTGTGTGTGTGTGTGTGTGTGTCTGTCTCTCTGCCTCTCTCTCTCAGACACATACAAACTCACACCACCCACAATGCTTTGTAAACTTATGCCCTGCTAAAGTGAGCATAAATAGATAAAAAGTGAAATTCTTTTTTATTCAGCATTTGTAGGTCAGATGTGCACAAAATATGTATATGTATATTATACTCTAAAAAGTATTTTTGTTCTACTGCAGAGAATACATTCTTTAAATTTTATTTTTGTTGATGTTGTTGTTGTTTTTTAGAGAGGGAAAGAGAGGAAGAAAGACAAGGAGAGAAACATAAATGCGTGGTTACCTCTCACATGCCCTCTACTTGGGACCTGGCCCACAACCCAGGCATGTGCCCTAAACTGGAAATCGAACCTGCAACCCTTTGGTTTGCAGGCTGGCACTCAATCCACTGAGCCACACCAGCCAGGGCAGAAGATACATTTTACGTGGGTGCACAGTGAAGGGGGCAAACTGTAATCCCAGTGCCAGCTTCTTTCTAGAGCCTGCTAATCACCCCAGGTGGTAGCAGAACAATCTTCAGTGATAATAAAACACCTGGAGAATATATTCTAAGGCAGTGCTTCTCAAACTTTAATACGCATATGAATCACTTGGAAATCTTGTTAAAATGCAAATTCTGCATTAGTAGGTTTGGGTGGGCCTCAGATTCTGCATTTCCAGCAGGTTCTCAGGTAATGCCAAAACTGCTAGGTTATGGATCACAATTTGAGTAGTAAGGTTTTAATAGAATATTCTTGATTGAATTTCATTACACAGTTATACCAGTAAAGTATAAAGCCTACTGTTAGAATTGCCAGCAGAGAAAATCTGAACTGATTAGCTAAGTGTAAATCACTCCTTTTGGCCAACATCTTGTGGTTGAGAAATTAAATTAGACTATGTAATGAAAATATATTTTGACATTTAGTTGTAAGCCATATTAATCCTTTTTATGATGAGATAAAATTTTGCAGCATGCTATCTTTTACTCATAGTCAATGAATTATAGTTTGAAATCCTATCTCTATAACTGTAAATTGTTATAACTAAAATTTCTAGTGTAGTTCAAATTTGTTATTTAATTAAATGCTTTTCAAATAGTAACAGAATAAACTATTTGTAAAAAAGACTGTTAGCTGTTTCCTTCCTTCCTTCCTTCCTTCGAGGACGGTAGCAGCTTCCATAATAACTCAAGTTCAAAATGAGTCTAATGGGGGGGGGGGAATCCAGGCAGTACATTTCTATCTGTATCTTTATTGAAACTTTTATTTAAATGAGTCTGCTAAATATTGTGAAGGAATAAGATTCCTGAAAATGCAAATCTTAACAATAAAACATCTACTTTGGTAGATTCTTCCAAGTAGTTGACCTGTTTTTCTGTCAGAAGACTTCAACACTTAAATCTTTAGATGTTAGCAGCCTTCTAGGTGCGCATCAATGAATGGTGCACCAAGATTTTTAAGAATATTATTTGATTCTACAAAATTCACTCCTTTGTCAGATACTACCACAATGGTGTTCTGAAGAAGACTAATTTTGTGACCCAGATTATTATTCTCCAAATGGGAAATTTAGAATTACATAAGTTTAGGAAAATCTTGGTTCTTTAGCTTTCTCTTGGACATCCTTAAAGCACATTAAATAGTTTTAAAATCCTGAGAATAAACCTATTACCCTCTATCACAGTGCTTCTCAAATATATTTGTTGACAGAGTACACTTCGGGAAATGCTTCATTTTCTTTTTCCATATCAATCAAGTTTTTGGTTTGAGTGAAAGCTGGACAGAGTACCTTTTCTGCCGTTACCAATAAGAAGGAAGCCTTCACAGGAGTGTCCCCAGGAGACTTTTTCTGAAGTCTTTTTGGATAACCAGGATCTTCTGAGCTGTGCTGGGCAAGTGAATGTCTAACAATGGGGGTCCGGGATGGTCAGGATACGATTAAACCAATCATAACTTGTTATCATGGGTTGGTGTTCCAGACCTGTTAGCAAAAAATGAAAGTGAGGATATTTCTGGAAAGGCAACGGACAAAGCCTATGGGGGATTTTTTTAAATGTGTTTATTAACTTCACCACTTTCAGAGTGGTTCAAGTCATCATCTTTTCCATTTCTGGAAAAGCCTTTTTACCAATGCTTCCATTCTTGTGCCCTTATTATCAGTTCCCTACAAGGCTGCCAGAGTGATGATTTAAAACATCAACCAAGTCATGTGACTTCTCTGCTCAAACGCTTCCATTGGGTTTCCGATTCATTTAGAAACATCATTTAGCATGAACTCCTGCCCCTCTGTCATGGCTAAAAGGTCTGCTGAGTTTCTGCAACATCACCTCATGCCTTGTTCATTCTAGTTCCAGCCTTTTTGTTCTCCTACTCCCTGCTCACCTGACACCTCCTCGGGGAGAACCTGCCTGATCAGGCTCTGTTAGATGCCTGCTTTATTTTTCTGATATAAATTTTTTGTTACATACTTTTATACCCATCTATTTTCTGCTGCTTCCACTAGGATATAAAAACAAGAGTTGACTGCATCTGTATCTGTATGCTCAGCACTTAGAACTGTACATCACACTGTAGGCTTGCAAATATTTGTGAAATGAGGTAATGAAATCCACAAAGTTAAAAGAGGAAACCATCATAGCCAGTTAAAGGAGAAGGTGATGGGTTGTTTGGAAAGAACTTTGCAGAGAGGTATAAATGATTTGGAGACCTTCATAATGAAAACTGAATAGCAAAGTCCTTGTTGATCAATCTTTGCTTGATCTCATTTAAACCAGCGTAGAGGACAATTCACTGAATGTTAGCAAGGCTAAAAAATGCATTTGCAAAGCTTGATTTTGAAGTTCTATGTCTTTGATTCCCTTTGAAACCCCACTTGAGTCATCTGCTGACATCTCTCACATCTACAACACGTTCACATTGATGTTAGAACCAGAGACTGACTGTCGTCAGCAGTGTAAGAGAGGGCTACCTAACAAAGATTTAGGACTGGGGCCCTGATTTTTAGAGAATCCCACAAAGTGAAATGGACAAAGAAACATCTCTAAATTAGACAGAATCTAAAGTGCATTCCACATATTGGGTTTTTAAATTTCAGTTTTCCACTGAGCTGAAAACTGATCATTCCCTTACATTCAAATTCTGTTTGAAGGAATCCTTCTTAAAAAACATCTTTTAAGACGTTAAAATTCAAGTCTAGATTATTCACAAACTTACCAGACAGTTTTATCTGAAACATGCACTGTTTCATATACAAAGAACCCAAATAAATTTTCTTTATATGATAGAACATTTTGAGTATAGATGATATTGTCAGACTTTAACACTTGGCCTAATTTTTGTTTAAACCAATATTTTTAAAGCATATGTCTTGTCTGTCATGCCCTGTCTCTTACAGTATATATTACATTCAAGGAGCAAGATTTATATTAGAATTTAGGTAGAAAATCTGGAACTGGTTAAGGACTTTTACTTTTAACTTATGGCCTTAGTCCCAGAAGTTTTGTATTAGCAACCTAAAGCATTGCAAGTTAATGGAAAAATTGGATTACAATTAATGTGAGGTTATTTTCTAAATGACTTGATAATAAATGTTCAACTGAAATTTGCACCATTAAGAATGCTTTATACATAGTCACAGAATCCTGGGTACACCATAGTCTGCCTTTGGGCAGTAGACACTGAACTGCTATACAAGCCAGGGCTGAGTAAGAAGTCGCTGTGGCAGGGAATGCTGGCTCTCCACCCGGGTTCATTCTCCCCTGATTCCCTAGGAACACAGTTAGGCTGCGGATCTCACCACGGAGCCAGGGACTGTACTTTATAGTGCTGTCACTCCTCACCCAATTCTTGCTGCTAAATGTAGATATATGTGACCTCATTTTCATGAGGGGAAGATAAAGCGAAGTGCTGTGTACCTCTTCCACTCCCATGACTTAAAACATTGACCATATGCTCCTGCATGCATTTTCTCTCACAACCAAGAGGGAACAAATTTTACTTAAATCTTCCTTAGAAAACATTCCTATGGGGATAAAGGAAACAACCCAGATGATAATGGCAAAGAAGATAAAAGGAGCCTGGATTCCTGACTCTATGGAGCACAGCAGCCTGCTTACATGCCCCAGATAGATATGTGAGGAAGAAATGGCTTTTTAAAGCCTCTCTATTGTGAAGACTCACTGGGCTAGCATTACAGCAGCTTTGCTTTTTATGCCAAGTAATACAGGGGTTGAAGCCATCCTTCGTGACCCCCCCATCCCCTTTAATGCTCTGCCATCTTCATGGTGCCTTCTCACTTACCAGCACGCTCAGGAGCTGCCTGTTGGGTGTTCTGTTCTGGGTCCTTTCCTGCATGCTCCTGGCTTGTTCGACTTCCACGTCCTGAGTCCTGCTGCATTTATTTTTGATGACCTGACCTTTTCAAAGGACTCAGATATACTCAATTTTTTAGAAGCTTATAGACCAACTACTTGTCCTAAAGGTACTTATTTTTCCTGAAGGTTGTGACTTAATCCAAATTAATGAATTTTTTACTGGCAGAAGTTCAGGCAGAAGCCCAAAGACCATTCCAGTGTCTGCTTGTTCACTTAATATTCTATATGGCTAGACTTAAGGGAATGGGTCTTAAGCAACCCTCTACCTCCTCCCCCTGATTCTAAGAGAGAATGAGAGCAAAAAGGGAGGCTACCCTCCTCAGCTCATCTCTTTGCCACTGTTTTTTTGGTAACTAGATATAAGAGATTGTCTCAGTTTTTACTCTGAGAAACACAGGCTTAATTTAATATCAGATAGCTTTGAATTAAATAAATATCAATTACTACCTACTATCTACCTACTATGTAAGTGAAATTGTGTTTCTCATCTTTGTGCTTACTCAGATTTGGCCTAGAATGCGATTTATCCTTTTGCATTGTCTTTTGAGGAGAGGGAGAGGAGGGGAGGAAGGAGAGCAGCTTGTTAAGCAAATGAATAGTGCCCCACTTAGCGGGCTTAGCATGGGAGGGCTGTTTTGAAACACTTGAGAAGTGTGCAAACACTGTAATTGCCGCACAAACAAAGGCCACTCTGCTCAGCAGAGCTTGACCTTTGATATGGAAACTACAAGTCACTTCTTTTAATAAAGCAGGATTTCTAGACAGCATCCCTTGGGTCCTGCTGGTTGATGGAGTAAATACGCCTCTACATTCTCAGACAACACTTTCCTCCTAAATACATTTGGATCACAGGTGGCTGTTAGTGTTTTGCCCTCTGCCTCCCCTGTGATGCATCAAGGAAGTTTAGTGCAAAGGCCTCTCAACCTGGTGGATAACTGAAGTTGGTGAGGGTTAGATGGCTGGGTACAGGGTACGTGGAGGGATTTCCAAAATTGTTCATTATTTTTCTATCCCTAAAAAAAAAATCCCTTAAGCTTGCCTTTGAACTTTGAAAGATAAATATTGGATTAGCATTTTCTTGTTATTGGCAAGATATGAACAGTGACAGTGCTATATCCATGAGCTGCAAGCTTAGCTGTATATAATAATTTTGTGGAAAATATTTTAAAAATACACGTAATGTCAATTTACCCTCTTGAAATTGCTGTCTTTAACAATGTGACACTGGACTGAGCTCCAAGTATTCAAAGGCTCAAGAAATGTCAATGACCAACCCAAGGAGAAATTTGGCAAGCAGACATTTTCTATAGAAAGAATGGCCTCTGTAGGTCAGGAAAGGCATGTCACACTGAAAAAAGTAAATAAAATAATTCAGTCAACAAACTACTTAAAAGTGTGAGGTCAGGGTTACAGGAAGGTGAAAAGGGATGGTGGAGCGAGTATCACCACTAGACTGAAGACTAAGGCAAGGACAGTCACTGGGTCTCAGAGACAGGGCGATAGCTGATGGAGAGCCACTCCATAGGAGGATTTCCTCATTGAGGAACCAAGCTGCTGACAGCTCAAGGTCTGCCATGGAGTAAAATCCCCAACATCTTTCCCCCAGCTCATTAATCTCCTACCAGGGCTTCCCAGTGGCGCAGACCACTGCCAGGGACATAATTGGTGTGGCCTACCGAAGGTGGCTGCCCGACACCCACGGCAGAATGGAGCCAGTATGGAAAAGGCTGGAGGACCAGGACTGTCCAATATACTCAAATTTCCTAATATTCAAGCAGCCTGAAACTGTTTATAAAAGAAAAATCACTGAGTAAAAGTGTGTGGAAAGCAGTGTCAACGTTACTTGAGAGGGCATTTGTGAAGACTTTGTGCTTTGTTGATCAGTCCAGCATCTTTAAGGAATAAGGCAGGGCACCTCCATTCTGACATATATCTTAATTCCTCAGAAAAACAGCCTCCTAACTCCTCCCTTCTCCACTATGTACTTGTTCAGTTTATTAACATTGCCTACAGATTTATCACAAATTGGTTAGTGGTCAGAGTCATGGAGCTGAACACTGTAGATCCTAAACATTTCTTCAGTGGTTCCAAGGCGATAGATTTTGTCCTTTGACTGAATCCTTCCTACATCATCAGTGGGTATGATGGGGTGTGGGATGTAGTTGGGGACAGTGCAAATTCTTATAAAGATAATGCCTTGAAAGGTCTTCAAAAGAGTAATCCCAGGCTCTAGATCTACTGCAGGAGAAACACTTCTTTATCCTCTGGAGGACCATTGTCTCTGGAATTTTCTTTCATCCAACAGAGTCCTGGTTTAACCACATTCATCTTTGGGCAAGACAAAATTGCAACACACACAAGGCCTCTTTGTTTTGCTTGGACTATTACCAGAGTGATGTAAACACCATTACCAGTTGTCATTTACTAAACCCTGACTCTGCAAGGGCTCTGCAGATCTTCCCTGCTAGGAGAGGAGAGTCTTTGTTTTCTAGCCAGATTTATCAACATAATTTGCATGTGAAAAAATCACTCTTTAAGTGTATAATTCAATGATTTTCATAAATTTACAGTGCTGTGAGACCATGCCACAATCTGATTTTAGAATATT